GTACGAGTTCCTTACAGAAGTAAAGGCTTATTTATACCCTAACGTGAGCGCCTCCTCCCTAACCCCCTTCCCCTTATCCCCATTGGCTGGGCTTTTGAGGGCACAATCTTTTCACGGAAATCTAGAACAAAGGTAATTACACAAGTTTGCCCAGAGACAAGAAACCGGGGGGCTGGGGGGTGGGAGAGTTGGGGGGGGTGGAGTTTTTGCAAGGGAAAACAGTTCAGGTTGGGAGCAGAGCTTATTCTTTCTGCTAAGGATTTAAAAAAACGGTCTGAGTGGGGGAGGGTTTTGAAAGCATCAAGAAATATTAACAAGAATCATTGATTCCCTGGGGAGGCTTCACTTCTGAGAGATCATCTCTCACACACAGTAAGCACTTAAATAAAAGCCTCTCTCTCTCTCTCTCTGTCGTCTCTCTCTCCCTCTCCCCTGTCTATCATCTCCTTCCCTCCTCCCCTTTGTCTCCTTTGATATGCTTCACCCTATAAAATAGATATGTAACTTTTGTGCCAGGTGTGCCTATGATGTGAAATCCATAAATCTCCTTCTGGAGATATCACATTTCTCTCCTTTGGTGCTGTCTAATGAAATTTTTGCAACCAAGGGCTTGAAGCAGCAAGATAACCTGAGGAGAAGATGGGAGGCAGCATGTGTTAACCAAGTCAAACCACCATCACTACCACCTTGACTGCCATCGTCCCTCAGACCCTGATGGAGGCAGCCCAGGACCCTGAACTAAACAGTATTGGAGTTGTAAGGGCCCTCAAACCCTAGACTTGCTTCCAGGACTTCCTTTATAACCATCACTGAGGGGAGAAATACTTGTAGAGAAGGGGTGTTTTTCTTCATCACCACAAGTAACAATTACTGACCAAATACCAACAATGGATCGATAAGCATAAGATCCCTGGTGATAGCAGCAACCCCACCCCCAAGACTACTGGTTCCGCTTTAAGCCCAGCCCTCATAGCCATCATCTGGGGGAAGCAACGCCTGTGGAAAAGGGCCCAGTATCTCTACCAACTGCCACCCAAAGGTCAGGTAAACCAGCTTAGCTAAAGTAGTGGACCACCCTGAGGTGCCTCACAGGCAAGTCAAACCATCACCTTGGCCACCACCTCCCCTCAGTCCCTGATTGGGGAAGCACAAGAGCCCCAATGGCAAGGCATCCCCTCAGACATCCTGGGAAGCCACCCTTTGTGGAGATGCAGCCCGGCAACTGCTTCTATGGATGCTCTCACCCAGCTACTGAAGCCTGAGAAACTATGTCCTTGTCACCAAAGCTCTTGGCATAGCCAAATGGTTCAATATCATAAACTGATATGATTTCTTCAGCAAAACTGCATTAAAGAAGAGGCACAACCATATGTTTTACTGTACCCTGAGGACAATGGCACCTTTCCATTTGACCCCAGCTGAAACCTTGCATATGTCTTATCCCACCCATTAGAATGTAAGTTCCTTCTTTGTACACAATAACAGCCACATTATGCAATGACTAAGATTGTTAAACTGAACCCTTCTCAGCATTAGGAGGATCTAAGACATCTCCAGAGGCCTCGGGATGGAAAACGCTGTCCACATCCAAAGAAAGAACTATGGAAGTCGAACCGCTCTCACTTATTTTTACCTTCTGTTGAGTTTTGTTTTATCTTTCTGATGGTTCCTCCTATTGGTTTTAATTTTTACTTACAACTTCACTAATGTGAAAATATGTTTAATGGGTATGTAAATGTAAAGCCTATATTAGATTGTGCGCCGTCTTGGGGAGGGTGGGGGGTAGGAAAAGGGAGAAAAATTTTCAACTCAAAAGCATATGGAAAAAAAAAAGAATGTAAGTTCCTTGAAAGCAGGGTCTGTCTTACTTTTCTATCTGTACTCTCAATACTTAGCACGGTACTTTGCACAGTAAGAAGTTAATTTTTTTTTTCATTCATTCAGGGCTTCCCCACTGGTGGAAAATCTAGATCAAGTCACCAATGCATTCGATATCCTGTCAATCAGAAACAACAATTTGTGTTCTTGAACAGCAACCCCCTTGCATCCCTTGCTCCTCCTTGAGAATCCCCAAGATCACTCAGCCTGTTACAAATCCAAATGGAAATTGGTCTTGGACTCTCATTTCCTCCTGCTTCTTCACCTTCCCCCTCCACTGTAGTCTCCTTCTCCCTTGCCTTTTTTTTTTTAATTCTGGTTTCCCACCCTGTCCAGTTGCAATGGGACTTGGGAGAAGGCTCCCCTCCCATTTAATTAAGTGACTAGAATTTTATATTCAGGGAGTGTAAATAAAAGCAAATCGGCACTTCAATAGCACAAGGCTTTGGAAAGGGAAACTGACAGCCTGCGGAGTTCCTTTGTTATATTTCTAGCATACAGCGACTGATCTTGATAGGCAGACAACAACCTTTTACTGGATGCTTTAAAACTGACAGGCTGTGAAGACATTTTAGGAGGCTTTCTTCTCCAAGTTGATCTGGGCATCAGTACATATATGGAGGTGCCAGACGGCCAAGAGATTCAACAGAAGGTACTGCTTATTTCCACCCCCAACAATCTCTTCTTCTCCTTTCCACAAACAAAGGAGAGGAGAGAGGGAAGGATAACAGATGTTTTGCTGTTTAGCCTCTTTTTAAATGTTTCATGGATTCATTTTTATATTTTAGTCACTTCCCAATAGCCAGCACCTCCACAATAGATCTCTCCTTGGTAACAGAAATACCTTTAAGCAAAATAACCCTACGCATTGACTGTGCCTAACAACATATGCCTCATTCTGTACCTGTAGTGCCACCTTTACTGAGAGAGGGAGAGATGGTTTATCATCAGTCCTCTGGAGAGAAGAATAACTATTGCATTGACTTTAATTCTGAAGGTATTTTATTGTTGTTTTCCTTTATGCTGATATGGCCATGAGACAACAGTCCTCAAAGAAGTGAAAAATGGATATTATACAACGGATAATGGAGAGGTGCATTATGGGCATAAGCAAGCTGCCGCATACTTTTTCCTTAATTTGTTTTCTTTTATTTATTTTCTTTTTAATTTATGGAAAAAATAAAACAAGCATTTCCATAAAGTAGTATAATAAAAAAGATGATTGCACATGAACTGCAAGTCTGTTATGTACAACTTGCTAACAAATAACAAATGAGGAACTTTGAGGAAGAATACAAATAAGGTTGTTGATGTGATGTAAAAAGAAGATAGGCTTGGCCACACAGCAAGGGTGAGGGATGACAGGAAGTCAGTTAATAAACATTTAATAAGCACCTACTATGTGCTGAACAGCCTGATACTCCTCTGATACTTTCATAATGATAGGAGAAAGTGAAGAAAGCCCCTAGAGCATTGGATGGGTCCCCTGTGTCAAACTTATGGGGACAAATGGACAAGAATTGCACAAAATGGGTAGGCATGAATGGGCTGCAACATTTTGCATTTCTGGAAGGAACATACAAATTGAAGACATTTCTGCTCCATTTGCATTTGCGTGTGAGTTGCTTTCTACTATTGTAGTCATTCATTGTATATATTTTCCCTTGGTTCTTCTTACCCTTCATTAGTTCCAACAAATCTTTCAAGTTTCTATGAATTCCTCATATGCATTGCTTTATATGATATAATAATTTTCCATTACATTCCTATACCAGTTTGTTTAGCATTTTCTCAATCAATGGGCACCTTCTTTGTTGCCAATTTTTCCCCCTGAAACAAGTAGTACTGCTGTGAATATTTTGATATACTGTACATGACCATTTCTTCTGCTTTTTACCTACTTCAGGTATATGTTCAATAACAGTACTGCTGGGTCAAAGGGTACAAGCAATTTTGCCACTTTTCTTTAGTTGTTTAGTCTTCAGGGAAGTATCTCTTAATTGTAATGTCATACCCTTCCCCTTTCCTACTTTTCCATCCTCCCTCTTTAGTTCCCTCTGTCCATTCCTTTCTTTTTCTATTCACCTTATTAAACTCCTAGCAATGGAACAAAGCCCTGAAAAATTAATTAATCAATTTTTGATTAATTTTTGATCAGCCTGGGCTAGCAAGGTCAAGGATAGTTTATGGCATCTGTTGCTCTATTTTTATGGCTTGTTTTTAACTCTGATCTCTTATTTCATGCTTTCTATAAGCTGCCCCCATACCCCAATCTAATGAATGAACCAGTAGAATGTGTAGTTTAAGTTGTATAATGGGGAAGGAATAGGTAAGAAGTAAGGTGGCAGACCAAGAAATTTAGAGTAGGGACAGTAATTCATAGGAGTAATTTAATGTTCTTGACCTGAAACATCCAAAAGGCAATATATAGAAATGTTAATACCAATGTTGGTCCCAGAGACCAGTTAATTAAATATCTCTTTCTCCTCTAGGTAGAGAGTTGGGGGACTTTGGGGCACAATGTTGCATATACCTGTCAGACATGATCACCACATTAGTTGTTTTGCTTAGCTGTTTTTCTTCATAATAGGGGCATAGAGGGCTCCATTTTATTAGAAGGGAAAACTCAATGCTGAATGAGGAAAATAGTGGGGGCATAGTATATCTGGGTTGTTATGTCCCCATATTTTATCTATGATTTCCTCTCTTCCAGGCATCCCATGGGATAGCAGTGGTCTCCATGTATAGTCATGCCTTTTGGCTGATGTCAGGGGTGAGTGGGACAGAGATTGAATTGTTGCTAGTGGTACTGTACGGCCCCATTTAGGGGCCTGGGTGATGTGCATGGCAGAGGTGGAGGTGGGTGACCATTCCTTTTGTCATGCATAATCACATCTTTTCCCATTCATTGTTCACACACTTGTTGCTGTATTTCAATAAATTCTGCTGCTTAATGGTGACAACCATTAATCATTGTCAATGTTATCCATCTTCTACAATAGATAAAGGTAAAGATGTCTTCCATGGTGGATCACTAACAATGCTGTATTTCTCACACATCTATCCCTTCCTTTCTAGTCCTACTACTGCCACACTAGTTCAGGCCATCATTGTCTCCTTACCTCATTATCTGGATTCTTGCAGTAGCCTCCTAAATTGGTCTCCCTGCTTCCAGTCTTTCCTTTCTTCAATCCATCCTATGCAACATTGCCAAATTAATCTCTTTTCTACACAGTTCTGACTATTTAACACCATTACTCTAAAATCATCCACAGCTCCCTTTTGCCTATATAGGATAAGGTATTAATTTTCTAGCAGATTCTTTGATCCCAACCTCCTGCCCCCAACTCAGAATTTGGGTATAGGGAATCAGAGGCAGCTGGTGGCCAGAGTCAGGAAGAGCTGAATTCAAATCTGGCCTCAGTTACTTTCTAGCTATGTGACCCTGGGCAAGTTACTTAACCTCTGTTTGCCTCAGTGTCTTCAACTGTAAAATGTGAACAATAATAGTACCTACCTTGCAGATGGTGTTTTTTTTTTTAAGTGCTTAGAGCAGTGCCTGGCACATGGTGGGCACCATATAAATGCTTATTTCTCCCCTCCCTTTCCACCCTAGTTGTCCATGGATGCCATTATGATATCATCAGCAAACTGTCACTTTTCCTTTCAAGTACCCTAAGTCAGGTTCATCCCCTCCCCTCTCAATAGTTACCTACCTGTCTCTTACCTCCAGCCCCAGAAAAGAATGAGGCCATCCTTCCTTTACAACATTATCTCTTACTATTCCCCATTTTGTAATCTAAGCTGCAATCAACCTGTACCACTCTTTCCCTGACCAGACCTTGCACTCTTTTAATTTTCTTACTCGATGCTTACTTTATCTAGAATAATCTTTCCTCCATTTCTACTTGTCAAAATTACACTTATCCTCCAAAGTCCAGATCAAAGGTTTCCTTCTCCATGGAACCTTCACCACTTGCTTTATTACCCGAACTATTGCAATAGTCAAAACCAAAAGTTCTCTGTCTTTCTGTCTCTCTCTGTCTCTCTCTGTCTCTCTCTGTCTCTCTCTGTCTCTCTCTCTCTCTCTCTGTCTCTCTCCCTCTCTCTGTCTCTCTCCCTCCCTCCCTCCCTCCCTCCTACTCCCAAGGCACTTATCCCTTTCTGTCATGTATGTATATGCTTTACATCCTTTACTGACTGTAAACTCTTGGATGGAAGGAACTGTATTACATCCATGCTTGCTCCTAAGTGCCTACCATATTGTCTTGCACTCATTAGATGCTCAATAAATATTTGTTAGATTAAATTAAATTGAATCTTAGTGTCCATTCCTCTCTCCTCTTACTAAGACAAAAATAAAATTGAGTTAGTCTGGATAAACTAAGATTTATACGGTTGTAGGTGACCAATCCATTCCTAAGACATCTAAATTGAGTCCACATGACTCTAAAACATTTGGATATTTAGAAGCATCCAGATGTTTGGTAACATCTGCATATTTGACATTGTGTAGCCATGGACAACTTGAACATCAAAATCCTTCCAGGTTGTTTGTAAATGATATCAAAATAATCAATTCAATGAGGATAAGGAGAAGGTTAGATGTATGAGTCAAGCTGGTTGGTTAGCATCATATAGGGAAAACAACTACCTGAGTGGCTGATTTTTTTCATTCTTCAGCTTTTTTTTTTCATTAGCCTTTGTCTTACTGAGCACTGGGGCTATTGTTAAGTCAGGGGGAAAGAGGAGCAAATGACTTATGTGTTCTTCATAGGCAGCAGCATACTAGTAAATAATGATTGGCTCTCTGGGAAAAAATGTATGCATATTATACTTTTAATTTTAATCTTCATTAATAACATTTTCCTATCACATTATTAGGTCTAGGAAATCATCAGAACAATAAATCAAGTCCTGACTTGTAGCAGGTCATTGTCAAAGCTTATTGTTACTACCTTCCCAGGATCTCTAACACTTCTCTCCACTCACATAGCCACCACCCTAAGCCATCTCTTTTCACCTGTCACCTGGACTATTGCAATAGCCTTCTTTAGTCTTCCTAGCCCAAGTCTTTCCCTTTTCCAATTCATCTTCCACTCATCTGCCAAAGTGTTTTTTTCTAAAATATAGGCTTAACTATGTTACCCCCTTCTCAGTGAGTTCTAGAGATTCCCCACTTCCTCCAGGATCAAATATAAAAATCTATTTGATTTCCAAGATGTAAATAATCACACTAAAAATTTAGCAATCTTTTCTTCCAAACTGGCTTGAGCTGGCTCTAGCACATCCCTGATTATAGAGGAACATGACATAGATGTAAACTGTCTGAAGTGAGTTCAAAGGCACCTAAGTTCTAGTCTAGGCTCTGTCATTACCTTGTTATGTGACCTTGGGCAAATGATTGAGCTACCTTGGGAAGTGGTGGGCTGTTCTTTATGGGAACTCTTGAAGTGAAGTCTTAATTTTTGAAACTGTTCCAAGCCTTCACGTCTTTCTTCAAGCCTCCCGTAGAACTCCACTTCCATGCTCTACTCTTTTAACTAAATATTTTGCATCACACTTCATCAAAAAAAAATGTCCATTTTCTGAGAGCCCACCCTTTCCCCTCCTCCTCATCTCATGGGGTCCAGATATCTTCCCCCGCTACCTCCTCCTTTATTCTGGTCTCTGATGAATGTATTTCTCTTTGCCAAGGCAAACTCTTGTACCCTTGATCTCATTCTCCCCTGTTTTTCTTTATCTCATTTTTCCCAGATTACCCTCACTATCATCCCTACTTTCTTTTCTTCAGTCTTTCCCTCTCTACTGCCTTCTTCCCTTCTATTTACAAATATGCCCCTTTACTCTATCCTCTCTAGGTTTTTGTGATACATTTCTGTCCTGGTTCTTCTCCTATCTGACTAACCATTCCTCAGTCTCCTTTGCAGGCACTTTATCCTCTAGGTATCCCCCATGATTTTGTACTGAGCCCACATCTTTTTCCCCTTTATACTGTCTTACTTAGTAATCTCATCAATTCCCATGGGTCCACTTATCATCTCTATGCTGATGATTGATTCCCAGATTCATATATCCAGCCCCAGGCTCTCTCCTGAGCTATAGTCATGCACCATTAACTGCCATTTGAACAACTCAGAATGTATGTCTTGCAGGCATCTCAACACATATCCAAAATAGAACTCATTATCTTCATCCTCCCACCCCCTCAAACACTCCTGTCTTCTGAATGTCCCTATTACTGTAAAGGGCACCCTCATCCTTCTGGTTACCCAGGCTTAAAATCTCAAACTCACTCAACTTCTCAGTCACTCTCACTCATCCCACATATTCAGTTCATTGTCAAATCTTATTGTTTCTACTTTCCCTGGATCTCTAATATATATCTTCTTCTATCCACTCACACAGCCACCACCCCTATCCCCTGGACTATTACAATAGCCTTCTTTGGTCTCCCTTCCCCAGTCTCTTTTGCTGTTGTTGTTCACTCAGGTCCAACTTTCTGTGACCTCATTTGAGGTTTTTTTGGCAAAGATACTGGAGTGGTTTGCCATTTCCTTCTCTAGTTCATTTTTACAGATAAGGAGCTGAGGCAAACAGGGTTAAGTGACTTGCCCAGAGTCACACAGCTAGTAAGTGTCTGAGGCTGGATTTGAACTCATGAAGATGAATCTTCCTGATTCCAAACTCTGTGTTCTATCCACTATGCAGTGGATAGAATACTTATATAATACTTACTGACATAAGTATTTAGAGATATAATTTTTCCTTTGATTAATGCTTTTGCTACATTCCATAGGTTTTCATATATTATCTCATTACTGTCATTCTCTTTAATGAAATTATTGATTATTTCTATGATTTGTTCTTTAACACATTCATTCTTTAAGATTACATTGTTTAAGGGGCAGCTAGGTGGCACAGTGGATAGAGCACCAGTCCTGAAGTCAGGAGGACCTGAGTTCAAATCCGGCCTCAGACCAAACACTTTTGATACTTACTAGCTGTGTGACCCTGGGCAAGTCACTTAACCCCAATTGCCTTTTAAAAAAAAGATTAGGATTTAATAAAAAAAAAAAATTAAAAGGCCATGGTACCTCTTTACTCTCCCCTGGTCAGGCTAAAATTTGAAATACTCTGGAGGAGGCACATTTTAGGAGAGACTAGAGAGAGGTTAAAGGAAGTCGACCAGAATGGGATGGGACCTTGAGTCTATGTCATATGAGGATGAATTTGAGGCTTTGGGTATGTTTAGCTTAGAGAATAAGGAGGGGGAATAACAGGAAATCTACTTTCAGATATTTGAAGATCTGTCATATGGAAGAGGGATTCAATTTCTTCCATTTTGCTGCAGAGGTGGACAATTAGGAGCAGAGGACAGAAGTTTCAAAAGGACTGATTTAGTCTTGGCATCAGGAAAAAGTTGCCCGACATTCTGGAGCTATCAAGAAGAAGAATGAGATGTCTTGGAAGGTGGTGTTCCCACCCACTCCCAGCCTCCTAGCCCTGCCATTGGAGGTCTTCAAGAAGAGGCTAAAGTAATACTTTTTGGCTAAGTTGGAGACCAGATTCCTGTGCAGGGGTGAGTTAGACTACATGGTCTCTGAGATCCCTCTGAACTCTTAAGATTTTAACTACAACGTTGTTTACCCTTTGAAAGTCAGTTAGGAATATAGTTATCCCTTCCACATCATGACTTTTCCCATCTTGGTTTCAATGTATCACCAGAATGCATAAGAAATTAAATGGAGATTTGGGGGGAGTTTGGGAGAAGCCACAGATGACATCCACTCACACAGCCACCACCCCTATCCCCTGGACTATTACAATAGCCTTCTTTGGTCTCCCTTCCCCAGTCTCTTTTGCTGTTGTTGTTCACTCAGGTCCAACTTTCTGTGACCTCATTTGAGGTTTTTTTGGCAAAGATACTGGAGTGGTTTGCCATTTCCTTCTCTAGTTCATTTTTACAGATAAGGAGCTGAGGCAAACAGGGTTTGTTGTCCATTCCTATTTGGAATCAGCAAGATTCATCTTCATGAGTTCAAATCCAGCCTCAGACACTTACTAGCTGTGTGACTCTGGGCAAGTCACTTAACCCTGTTAAGTCACACAGCTAGTAAGTGTCTGAGGCTGGATTTGAACTCATGAAGATGAATCTT